TGTCTGTGTGTGTGTACGTCTGTATGTGTCTGTGTATGTGTCTGTGTGTGTGTGTCTGTGTGTGTGTCTGTGTGTGTGTCTGTGTGTGTGTCTGTGTGTGTCACCCACTCATCCACCCACTCATCCACCCACCAACTCACTCACCCACCCACGCACCCACCCACGCACTCACCCACTCACTCACTCACCCACTCACTCACTCACCCACCCACCCACTCAATCACCCACCCAATCACCCAGTCACTCACCCACTCACAAACTCACTCACCCACTCACCCACCCACTCACCCACTCACCCACCCACCCACGCACCTACCCACTCACCCACTCACTCACTCACCCACCCACCCTCACACAAAACCAACCAGACACTTGTAAACTGAATGCAAATGCTTTATTTGTGTATTTACATCTGAACATTACCCAAAGAATCACTCACAGACTCACCCAGACTCACTCTGACTCACTTAACTCAGCCACAGACTCACTCACAGACTCACCCACAGAGTCACTCACAGACTCACCCACAGACTCACTCACAGACTCACCCAAAGCTCCCACCTGTAGCCTTTCGCAGACTGTTGGGGCAAGTGCTGTTAGTAGCGAGTAGCAGCAGCACGTCACTCACCCAATACCCCACCCACTCACTCATCGACTCACTCACTCACTTACCCACAAACCCACCCACTCACTCACCCACTAAGCCACCAGCCCAGCCACTCACCCATTCATTCACCCACCCACTCAACAACCCACTCACCAATCCACTCACTCACCACTCACCCACTCACTCACCCACCCATTCACCCACTCTCTCACCCATTCACCCACTCACCACCCACCCACTCACTCACCTAACCCACTCACCAAGCCACTCACTCACCCATTCACCCACTCACCACCCACCCACTCACTCAACCAGCATAATCTAGGCCTCATTCAGGCTCAACTTAGGATATGTGCGGCCTAGTTCAGTCTCAGCCTAGGATACGAGAGGCCTGGATCTAGTCAGGCATTTCCCAGGCCTGGTTCTAAATGAGGACTTGCCCAGGCCTGGTTCTAGTCGAGGCCTAGAGTTACATACTCAATCACACACACTCACACACTCACCACTCACAATCACTCATCACACACTCATCACCCACTCACTCATTCACCCACTCATCACTCACTCACCCTCCCACGCACCCACTCACCTCACCCACTCGCCACTCATTCACTCACTCACCAACTCACCCACCCACGCACCCACACACTCACCCACTCACCCACCCACTCACTCATCCACCCACCCACTCACCCACCCACCCACCCACTCAATCACCCACCCACTCACCCAGTCACTCACCCACTCACAAACTCACTCACCCACTCAACCACCCACTCACTCACTCACCCACCCACCCACGCACCTACCCACTCACTCACTCACCCACCCTCACACAAAACCAACCAGACACTTGTAAACTGAATGCAAATGCTTTATTTGTGTATTTACATCTGAACATTACCCAAAGAATCACTCACAGACTCACCCAGACTCACTCAGACTCACTTAACTCAGCCACAGACTCACTCACAGACTCACCCACAGAGTCACTCACAGACTCACCCACAGACTCACTCACAGACTCACCCAAAGCTCCCACCTGTAGCCTTTCGCAGACTGTTGGGGCAAGTGCTGTTAGTAGCGAGTAGCAGCAGCACCTCACTCACCCAATACCCCACCCACTCACTCATCGACTCACTCACTTACCCACAAACCCACCCACTCACTCACCCACTAAGCCACCAGCCCAGCCGCTTACCCACTCACTCACCCATTCATTCACCCACCCACTCAACAACCCACTCACCAACCCACTCACTCACCACTCACCCACTCACTCACCCACCCATTCACCCACTCTCCCACCCATTCACCCACTCACCACCCACCCACTCACTCACCCAGCATAATCGAGGCCTCATTCAGGCTCAACTTAGGATATGTGTGGCCTAGTTCAGGCTCAGCCTAGGATACGAGAGGCCTGGATCTAGTCAGGCATTTCCCAGGCCTGGTTCTAGATGAGGCCTTGCCCAGGCCTGGATCTAGTCGAGGCCTGGTTCTAGTCGAGGCCTAGCCTAGGCCTGGTTCTAGTCGAGGCCTAGCCCAGGCCTGGATCTAGTCGAGGCCTTGCCCAGCCCTGGTTCTAGTCAAAGCATTGCCCAGGCCTAGTTCTAGTCGAGGCCTTGCCGAGGCCTGGTTCTAGTCGAGGCATTGCCGAGGCCTGATTCTAGTCGAGGCCTGATTCAGGCTCAACTTAGGATATGTGCAGCCTAGTTCAGGCTCAGCCTATGATACGAGAGGCCTGGATCTAGTCAGGCCTTGCCTTGACCTGGTTCTAGGTGAGGCCTAGTCCAGGCCTGGATCTAGTCGAGGCCTTGCCCAGGCCTGGTTCTAGTCGAGGCCTTGACCAGGCCTGGTATGTAGTCAAAGAATTGCCCAGGCCTGGTTCTAGTCGAGGCCTTGCCCAGGCTTGGAACTAGTCGAGGCCTAGTCCAGGCCTGGTTCTAGACGAGGCCTTGGCCAGGACAGGTTCCAGTTGAGGCATTTCCCAGGCCTGGTTCTAGTCGAGGCCTAGCCAAGGCCTGGTTCTAGTCGAGACCTTGCTCTAGCCTGTTTCTAGTCGAGGCCTAGCCCAGGGCTGGTTCTAGTCGAGGCCTGATTCAGGCTCAACTTAGGATATGTGCAGCCTAGTTCAGGCTCAGCCTAGGAAACGAGAGGCCTGGAACTAGTCAGGCCTTGCCCTGACCTGGTTCTAGGTGAGGCCGAGTCCAGGCCTGGATCTAGTCGAGGCCTTGCCCAGGCCTGGCTCTAGTCGAGGCCTTGCCCAGGCCTGGTTCTAGTCGAGGCCTTCACCAGGCCTGGTTCTAGTCAAAGAATTGCCCAGGCCTGGTTCTAGTCGAGGCCTTGCCCAGGCTTGGTACTAGTCGAGGCCTAGTCCAGGCCTGGTTCTAGACGAGGCCTTGACCAGGCCTGGTTCCAGTTGAGGCATTGCCCAGACCTGGTGCTAGTCGAGGCCTAGCCCAGGCCTGGTTCTAGTCGAGACCTTGCTCTAGCCTGTTTCTAGTCGAGGCCTAGCCCAGGACTGGTTCTAGTCGAACAATAAAGAAAATTATAGAAAAATGTTTAAAATATAGGGCAACGTTATGATCACAGTCTTTCTCCAACTTTAGCTCAACAAGGCCACTTAGTCACGACAGTAAAATCAGGAATTGGACCACCTCACAATCACTGTGCATCACACAACATCAACAAGTAATCCGATATGACTACAAAGCACCACCTTAACGTGACGAAGTCTAGAATAAACTACAACACTCAAGTAGCTGTGAGAAGATGACAACACGTGGCACCTTCTACCATAAACACCACACATTTAACAGTCCCGATGATACAACCACCAGACGAAGCAACGCATCTATGGAAGTATAAAATTGTTGTCATCCTGAAATAAGTGAACACTTCTGGAGCTTAAAAGGAATTCCTTTTTATCCCAACACATCATAGAGCATTCACAACATCGCTCTAGCTTGGAGTACTGGAAATCACGGAAGTAATAATGTGTACCTTATCGATTGATCTAACAGAGACACAAACATGCACATTCCAGGACTTCAAGAGTTAAGAGAAGTCCTCAAAACGTTGACCCTCCAGCCACTCCAGCAGCGATTTCTCAGCATCCACCTGCATGAGGTCGAAAGAGTAATTGTTGCCAGGACTCATTACCTCCACTACATCCAGGCATCCCGTGTGAGTTTCCTGGTGACTCTGAAGATGTGATGTCCGTGCAAATGCCTTCCCACACACAGAGCACTTGAATGGCTTCTCGCCCGTGTGTGTTTTCTGATGACTCTGAAGATGTGATTTCTGTGCAAATGCCTTCCCACACACAGAGCAATTGAACGGCTTCTCGCCCGTTTGTGTTTTCTGGTGTTTGTTAAGAGCTGATTCATCCGCAAATGCCTTTCCACAAACAGAGCACTTGAATGGCTTCTCGCCTGTGTGAGTTTTCTGGTGACTCTGAAGATGTGATTTCTGTGAAAATTCCTTCCCACACACAGAGCAATTGAATGGCTTCTCGCTCGTTTGTGTTTTCTGGTGTCTGCTAAGAGTTGTTTTCCGTGCAAATGCCTTCACACCCACAGAACAATGGAATGGCTAACAGAGACACAAACATGCACGTTCCAGGACTTCAAGAGTTAACAGAAGTACTCAATACTTTGACCCTCCAGCCACTCCAGCAGCCATTTCTCAGTATCCACCTGCATGGGGTCGGAAGAGGAATTGTTGCCAGGGCTCATTACATCCAGCAATCTATCAGGATCCAACTGCATGAGGTCGAAAGAAGAATTGTTGCCAGGAGTCATTACATCCACTACATCCAGGCATCTCTCAGGATCCACCTGAATAGGGTCGACAGATTCATTTTGTTCAGGACTCACTGCAGCACTTTGCATTCACCTTTTGATTTCACTTCACTCTCATTGCAGATCTTCGCATGTTTGTTTCGGGGTGATGACCGTGTCCTCTCCAACGGAAAACAATTGAATGGCTTCTCGCCCGTGTGTGTTTTCTGGTGACTGTGAAGATTTGATTTCTGTGCAAATGCCTTCCCACACACAGAGCAATTGAATGGCTTCTCTCCCGTGTGTGTTTTCTGGTGACTCTGAAGATGTGATTTCTGTGCAAATGCCTTCCCACACACAGAACAATGGAATGGCTTCTCGCCCGTGTATGGGTGGCACGGTTTAGAGTTAATCTGCTCCATGTGACTGATTCTACAGAGCAGAGTAACAGTCGCGGGTGTTGTTGAGAGTTAACGGCGCCCTCTAAGCTGCGTGGCTCAAATCGCCAAAAAGCAAACTCTCACGAACGTCCAACCGAGACACAGTAACGCCCCGTAAGATGGACTACACACGCGATTACCAGGTTATCTACTAACAAAGACACTTACTTGTTGATGCACAGTGTATCGATGACCCTGTATCCCGTCTAAAGAGATCGCCTCGAACTCTCCCGAAGCAAAGTCGCCAACCAGTCGGCAAGCAATCGTGCTCGCCAGGCTGAGTCTCGCAGGAGAAGGGAAATCTGCAGAGCGATCAGTCGAGCGTCTATCCTCAGGAAAATTCCTCTCCAAATGGTCTTGGGGTCTGATTTTAAGCCCCTTATAACTCCCCTCTAGCATCCAAATCCTTTGTTATCGACTTGGCCTATCATGGACTTTGCATTCAATTGTTATTTTTTTACATTAACAATCCGCATATCAATCAACGTAGCTTAGCTAATCTGGCACATTGTACTTAAACCTTAATAAGTATGTACATCCCACTACATAATTGTACACTTCCGTTTGAATAAAGATGTACATCTCCATGCATAATTCTGTGCTTCGTGTTAATTTGCTAATATTCACCTCTGTGTGTGTGTCTATGTGTGTGTCTGTGTGTGGATCTGTGTCTGTGTGTGTGTGACTGTGTGTGTGTGTCTGTGTGTGTCTGTCTGTCTGTGTGACTGTGTGTGTCTGTGTGTGTGTGTGTGTCTCTGTGTGTGTCTCTGTGTGTGTGTCTCTGTGTGTGTGTCTGTGTGTGGATCTGTCTGTCTGTGTGACTGTGTGTCTGTGTGTGTCTGTGTGTGTAGCGGTTAGCGCTACGCTGCGCTATGAACCTGGCGACCCGGGTTCGATTCCCGCTCACGGCCAACACCACCGGTGACGATTATCCGAACCGGTCCCGGGCCTCCCCTAGGTCGACTCAGCCTCAAATGAGTACCTGGTGTAGCGGTGTGTAGTAAACATCGCCACTGGGGAGACAAAGGCGGTCGGGCGTGGTTGCTGTGCCACCCACCCCCTTCGTGTACCCGTTATCGGCCTTCATAGGTGCTCGCTAACCAGCACTTGCCCCTACAGTCTGTTACAGGCTATACGGGGGGATCTTTATCTTTATCTTTGTGTCTGTGAGCACGTGCGAGTTACGGACAAGTTGAGGTCGCTTCTCTTCGAGACGACCAGCGCTGATTTTGGCCGGCTGGCTGAAACGCGCAACAGGCGCCCGGCCACACGGGAGGCTGGGACTGTAACGGCGACATCCGAGGGCCTCGCAAAGCCATCCGGGCTACCACGAGAGATTCGTTCACGAGGCTATCGTGAATCACAAACCGAGGAGATGGATTCTGGGCCGAGCGATCGTTTGAATTGATTCGATGAACCCGTTTCGGGGGGTCCTGATTTGATTGTTCACGCTTAAGGTGGCTTTCACACCGCATCCATTGTTCTCGTCTCTCCCCTCCACCACCACTTCTCCTCTTTTCCGAACATAGATGGACTCATATTCTTAGCTCCGTCGGTAAAGCCTCCTCTTTTCCGAACACAGATGGACTCATATTCTTAGCTCCTTCGGTAAAGTCACGTTGAAGGGAAACAATAAAATAATAAAACCATTTCGGGTCTTGATTGATTGTCCACGCTTACGGTGGCTTTCAGACAGCGTACATTAAAATTTCGTCTCTCCCCTCATCTTTTCAGAACACAGATGGACTAAGTTCTTCTAAATAAACTTCCAAATTGCTGCCCGTGGCGCTGACGTTTTTTAAAAACAAATAAATGCACCGTTTTAAAAATAAATAAATTAATGCGAACCGACACCGCCTGATGACCACCGTTTGTGTTACGGTCGAAACGTCGCGAGAATTTTTGTTATTGTTTTGTATATATTTATTATTTTTTATTATTTTATCGTTTCCCTTCAACGTGGTTAACTTTTACCGAAAGAGCTAAGAAGGTGAATTACTGCAGTCACGAAAAAGCTTTAAATCAAAACAGAAGGACTCGTCCATCTGAACAAATTGTCAAATCGCTCTCTGTGGCGCTGACGTTCAAAACAACAACAAAAACAACAACAACAACACCGCCACTTTTTTTTCAAAATGTTCTTGCTGGCGTTTTCCCACACCTGATGATGATGATGATTGCTTCTTCCGCTGCAGTCGAAACGTCGCGAGAATTGCACTGCTTTGCATTTTCATTGACTTCGCTGTTTCCCCTTCCTACGTGGTGACTTCACCGAAAAGAAACCAAGGAACATGAGGAGTTTAACACGCGGTAGGCTTTCGCGACCAATATTATCCACGATAAAGGTTTTTTTTTCGGGTTAGATCGCGTTTTGATTTATGAATGTGTCGTAACCCTCCACCACCCGACACGGCCAATCAGCATTTAAAAAAAAAGTGTCACGTTGACAAAAGACACAAAAATAGTTCACTAACTTTAGCCCCCCGTTGTGTTTGTTGAAGAGTGAATCCACAACATTGACAGCTTGAGTTGTACTGTGACGTCTCGCTGGTAAATACATCACCAGCATCATCAGCATCATCATCGGGCAATTCGCCAGAATGGTGAAGCCCTCTCTTGCTCCCGGGTTTTATATGGAGCAGCGGCAAGGTGACATCATCACTTAACTCATATCAGGTGCAGTGATTAGAGACGTAGGGGGAGGGGGAGGTATTGTAATTATATAATCGATTAGTAATCAGTCATTGGTAATGATTAGTAATGAGTTGTAGATTAGTAATTCTTTAAATCAAAATGTAACGTGTATTATTTAATACTAAGTGCGGCCTGGAAGCGTATTATTAAATAATACACGTCACATTTTGATTGAAAGAATTACTAATCTACAACTCATTACTAATCATAACCAATGACTGATTACTAATCGATTATATAATTACAATACCTCCCCCTCCCCCTCCTCTGCCTCTAATCACTGCACCTGATATGAGTTAAGTGATGATGTCACCTTGCCGCTGCTCCATATAAAACCCGGGAGCAAGCGGTGAGGGCTTCACCATCCTGGCGAATTGCCCGATGATGATGCTGATGATGCTGGTGATGTATTTACCAGCGAGACGTCACAGGACAACTCAAGCTGTCAATGTTGTGGATTCACTCTTCAACAAACACACCGGGGGGCTAAAGTTAGTGAACTATTTTTGTGTCTTTTGCATTATTGCTGATTGGCCGTGTCGGGTGGTGGTGGTGGAGGGGGTTACGACACATTCGTAAATCAAAACGCGATCTAACCCGAAAAAAAAACCCTTCATTGTGAATCACGAGGAGTCCAATGAGGAGGGTGCCGTCGGAGAGGGAACAGAGTCGTTGTTGGGAGTTTGTCGGAGGAGAGAAGTGGAGGGGTGGTGGGGGGAGGTTTTGCTGGCAGGCGAGAGTGAAGGCGTGAAGAGGCAGAAACCGGGGGTGGGCTAGCATCGGAGACTGGAGACTGGAGACTGGAGACTAGCGAGAGAGAGAGAGAGAGCGACGGAGAGAGTCGGAGAGAGCGGCGGAGGGAGCCGGGGCGTCGAGGCGCGGGCTAACAACGCCCCCGGGGTTTTTTTGCGGACGTGGAGCGGGGGTGGGAGGGGGTGGGAGGGGGTGGGGGAGAGAAACAGCGACGCCGGTAAAGACGGAGGAGCTCGCCCCCGCGCGGGAGTAACCGCGGCTTGAAGGACCTCGCCGGCTCGTCAAAGGCGACGGCTCGGAGAAGAATCGTAGCGCCCACCGTGGGTTTCCGTTCGGCAAAAAACGTCGCGGAAGGGTTGGGGGGAAAAAAAACGTCAAAACGTCGATTAAAAATCGCGGCGTTTTCGAGCCCTCACAGCACAAGTGGCCCTCATCAGGCGAAGGGACCGCGCCGTCGTGAGGGCAGCGTTTGGAGTGGCCCGTTTCACTCCCCTTCGCCTGATGAATGCCACTTGTGTTGTGTTGTGTGTGTGGGGGGCGGGGCGCTGAAAACGTCGTGAATTTGTTTTGGTTGTTTTATTTTGTATTCCACGTGAATTTTTTTTACCGAATAGAACCCAAAGAGGATGGATCCTTGCAGTCACGGAAGCTTTAAATCCATGTGACGTATGCCGGTGATCTGGTAATCGCTGCTCACTCAGAGGATGAGTTGGAGCGTGTCACTAAGAGGTGGGGCCTTACCATCAGCCCCACCAAAACTAAAGCACCTGCCTGGGTATTTTGTACCATCGGACGCTCCACCCCCACAACTCCCAATCGGTGATGGGGCAGTTGTGGAGAGAGTGGAGAGTTTCCCATACCTGGGCAGTGTGCTTATGACTGGCTCCAGTTTGACAGCAGAGGTCTCACTCCGAATCAGTCGAGTGGCAATATCTTTTCATCGGTAGCGGAACGCTGTGTGGAAGCTACCTGGTCTGTCGCTCTGCACTAAGCTTCGGGTCTTCTCGGCCACGGTCATTCCCTCCCTTCTCTACTCTTGCAAAACGTGGACCCCCCTAATGGAACATCTTCGCCGGTTAGAAACATTTAAGCTGGCCTGCCTACGATCCATTCCTGGGTTTAACCTGCAGGACTGGATTGTGTGAGGAGCTCACAAATCCTTGAAAGATCTGGGCAAGGTCCCATCGGTGAGCTCCTCTGGCAGGCAAGGCTGCGATGGCTGGGTCATGTAGCCCGCATGCCCAGCCACCGCATGCTGAAACAGCTTTTGTTCGGCCGGATCGAGGGGGCTAAGCGGGCGCGGTACGGGCTAGAGAAGAGATGGAGTGATGTGGTACAGGAGGACGTGGAGCTGAGTGGACTTGCCAATGACCGGTACCAGCGGTGTCAAGATCGGCCTCTGTGGAGGAGGCTCGTGAAGGACGCTACTGGGCAGTTGGAGGCAGTCGCCCTCCAACAACAACGGAGGGCGGAGGAGCGACGCTCAGAACAACAAGCGGAGCGCCGGGTGGCTAAAGCACAGCAGGTTGGCAGAGTAGGGGGCACAGGTGATGCATCAGCCAGTCATCTCAGTCATCTCAGTCAGTCGACCCGTGGCACCTGCTGGGTCTGCCCCATGACCTCCTGCCAGCGGGCGTTCGACACTTCACGTGGCCTCAGGGTGCACATAGCCTGGCACAAGCGTCGTGGTGATGTCACTGCCACTTATTGGCGAATGGTGGTTGTTGTTGTTGTGTGAGTGTGTGAGTGTGTGTACGTGTG